GATTCTCTTTCTGTTTCAGCATTGATTCATACAATACCCCTGACACAGCTATAAAAATCTGTGTTTACATATTGGCTCCGAGTTTCCAGGATCAAAAACTGATCTTATACATTTATTTCTTGTTCTTATTCAGTGCTCATTGCCTGTATGGGTTATAGCATTAACTTGTGGCTTGGCGTTTTTCATGTGTTATTAAAGGTCAAGGGCTTATGACATTTCCCCAAATTGTTGTTCTAGATGTAATATTGCCTTAACATTGATTATTTGGCACTTAACAAATGGAATGTGGATATTTACATACTTTTGTTTTGATACTTTACATTCCCCAGTGAGATTCTATCATTATCATATTTTGTTACAGATTTGATAATGGTTACATTTTTTACATGTCCTTTACTATTAAAAAAGCAATAAGTAAGGGAAAAAAACACAACTCATCCAATAAATCATCTAAAGGAAGTTATATTTCATGGAGTGGAGATTATGCAATAGTATTTGAATTAAGGATCATTAGTGCAAATTCTAACATTAAAAGGAATAAGTTATTGCAAACAAGGGTGGCTACTTACCTTTTTATGGATAAAGTACTCTATGTTTTATTTTTTAGTTGGATAGACTCATCTTGGTGCTAAATGTATCTCCTATGAGTATTTCCTACTTGTAGGAAAAATAATACATGTTACAAACCATTTACCTGACTTCCGTTATTCTGTAGGACAGCATAAAAATACTGCTTTTCATAAGGGTGAACATACTAATGCTGACAGAACTCTAGATCATTTTTTTCTATCTTTTAAAATCTAAAATAATTCCAACGCCAGGGAAAAAAAATGTCAAAGCATGGCATGAGAAAGAAGATAATAAAAAAAATTATACTCATAAAAACTAAGCCAGTGGTATAAATTGCAGTTGCTGTAGAGTCAGAAATCTAGTGTAAGAAAAATAGACTAAATTCTCTAAACTCTGCTGTGTTCCTGAATTGAAGTGCTTGGCAGTCTGAAGGAAATGAAAAATGATTGAAGACAGGTCTTGAAAGCTAACGTGATCATTTCTATCTTTGTACGTTTATCCCTGGGCATTCAGTAAAACTCGTGCCATTTCCTGTTCTTAAGGGTTTGACAATGTACTTTGTCCCCATGTGTGCCTACCTTGGCCTTGGTTTCTGCATTCTCCCATCTGATTCCAGGCAATGTTTTCTTCCTGCTGTAGATCTTGGGCTGTTCTTACTGCGAGTCAGTGGGGTGGGCCTATGTGGCTCCAGATTTGAATATTTTAATTAAGCAATTAACCCTTTTATGACTGGTGGAGGAAACTCCCTAGCCCTTCCAATATTGTCCCCAGCAGATGGGGTGTCTGTCTCGGGAAGGCCTGGATTCCACCTCAGGTACTCTGCTGCCCTTTCCTGGCTACAACTACTTCTTATACACCTTGCTGAGAAAGTGCTTAATTCATTGGGCTGGAACCCAGCAGGACCTATGGCCAAAGGAAACATCAGCACCCCGGCCAGGGATGGCATTCTACTTGATCTATGATGCAGACTCTCATTAGCAGGCTTACTGGCTGTGTGACCTTGAACAAGTTCTTTAATCTCTTTGTGCTTCACTTTTCTAGTCTATGAAAAGGGGATAATAATAGCACCTACCTTACAGGACTGTTATGAAGGTCAAATGTGTTACTATTTGTGAAGCAATTTAGACATTACATGACATATAAGCGCTGTATAAGTGTTTGTTAACGACATTAAGAACAAAAGAATATGTTACCCCAAAACATGTCTCTTTAGCAGAAGGATTACTGCTTTTTTGAGAAAAAGCAGACACCGGAGAAACTCTGAAAACAGAGTAGAGGATGTAGGGGAATTTCCCTTTTGTAGGGGAAACTGACATTTATAAAGAAAATCTACATTTGTAAATGTGTCTTCCTCTTTCTACCAGGAAGAGAAGGATGACTCTAAATCATAAGGGAATCTTATATATGGAGAAGGTACCCACTCAAATCTGCATAACAGACCTTACTTTTCTTTACTGTGCTTTTCTTCATAACCTCTCATAATTGGCCTCCCCCTTCACACCCCCTAAATATACCTTTTTTACTTTTGTCTTTAACTGAAGGTGCTATTTAAGTTGGTAGCTTGGTCCATCTCAGGGAGTTACTCAGTTTCCCTGCGTATCTCATCCGCCATGTATACATAAGGCACACGTGTTGATAAACTTCTGTTCGTTTTTATTTTGCCAATCTGTCTTTCATTATAGGTTCTCAGCCAAGAACTCAGAAAGATAGAGTGAAATTATTTTTCCTCTCCTAGACAAAGAAATAATTACTGTATTGGTTAGAGAAGAGGTAGTGATGACAAGGGAAGGAATTTTAGTCTTTATTAGAGATGCTTTCCTAGTGCTTGGGAGAAGGATGAAACCAGTGTCATGTATTTGTCATTCTTGGCATAGACTTTAATGAGCTCAGCCTTAGATACAATTTTAAAGGTGATAAATTTACAATTACTAGCCAACCTCTTCTCTTTAGAAAATATTTGAAATATATTCTCTTGGGAGTAAAATTTATTTATTTATTTAACTCTGTGTGTGTGTGTGTGTGTGTGTGTGTGTGTGTGTGTGTGTGAGAGAGAAAGTTTGTGAAGCAATTTAGACATTACATGACATATAAGCGCTGTATAAGTGTTTGTTAACGACATTAAGAACAAAAGAATATGTTACCCCAAAACATGTCTCTTTAGCAGAAGGATTACTGCTTTTTTGAGAAAAAGCAGACACCGGAGAAACTCTGAAAACAGAGTAGAGGATGTAGGGGAATTTCCCTTTTGTAGGGGAAACTGACATTTATAAAGAAAATCTACATTTGTAAATGTGTCTTCCTCTTTCTACCAGGAAGAGAAGGATGACTCTAAATCATAAGGGAATCTTATATATGGAGAAGGTACCCACTCAAATCTGCATAACAGACCTTACTTTTCTTTACTGTGCTTTTCTTCATAACCTCTCATAATTGGCCTCCCCCTTCACACCCCCTAAATATACCTTTTTTACTTTTGTCTTTAACTGAAGGTGCTATTTAAGTTGGTAGCTTGGTCCATCTCAGGGAGTTACTCAGTTTCCCTGCGTATCTCATCCGCCATGTATACATAAGGCACACGTGTTGATAAACTTCTGTTCGTTTTTATTTTGCCAATCTGTCTTTCATTATAGGTTCTCAGCCAAGAACTCAGAAAGATAGAGTGAAATTATTTTTCCTCTCCTAGACAAAGAAATAATTAGTGTATTGGTTAGAGAAGAGGTAGTGATGACAAGGGAAGGAATTTTAGTCTTTATTAGAGATGCTTTCCTAGTGCTTGGGAGAAGGATGAAACCAGTGTCATGTATTTGTCATTCTTGGCATAGACTTTAATGAGCTCAGCCTTAGATACAATTTTAAAGGTGATAAATTTACAATTACTAGCCAACCTCTTCTCTTTAGAAAATATTTGAAATATATTCTCTTGGGAGTAAAATTTATTTATTTATTTAACTCTGTGTGTGTGTGTGTGTGTGTGTGTGTTTGTGTGTGTGTGTGTGTTTGTGTGTGTGTGTGTAGAGAGAGAGAGAGAGAAATTGAGAGAGAGAGAGAGAACATATATAGTTCAAAGCAGATGCTACATGGTGGGGACACATGTAAGAAAATTAAACTTGATCCTTATGCAAGTAAAGCTCAGATTCTAGCTGATGAAAAAGATATTACACTGATAATTGTGCAATTACTTGTTTAATCACAACTATGAAGAGTACTCTAAAGGGCAAAGATAATGTGTATCAGGGGTCCTGTCTTAATCCTGTGGGTTAGGGAAAGTGTCATTAAAGAAATGACATTTCAGCCTCAGAGCTGAGAACTTAGAGGACTTGGTTAGGTCACGGGTTTGGCCTTGAGGAAGAAAAGGCATTCCAAGCGAGGGAGCAGCATGGGCAAAAGCTCTGGGATCATTTTGCACTATGTGAGATCCAAAACACAAAAAACAGAAAAAAGGATTGCTTCTTTAAAAAAATAAGGTGTGGTAGGTTATAGATGTTTTACATAATCACCTGTTTTCCCCCAATACAGACTGTGTTGGTGCTATATAATTTTACCAGCATCATACACTATCCATAGGAAATATAGAGAATAATTTTAATTAGGGAGGCAAAATTTCATGGATAGAATTATATCAGGGTTTTAAAGGATGGATTGGGCTTTGATAGACATAAATAAACAAGAGGATAAGAAACTGTAGAACAAAAACATTTCTCTAAAATTGTAACATTTTATGGTATTAGCAAGATGGCAAAATATTTTGTTTGTTTTCTCTTAGGTTTCTTTTCTGGGCTCCTGAAAACATACGGTAGAATCTGCTATCAGAACCACTTACGATAAAGTTGTCCTGTTTACAGGTTTTTGATAAGCTTTTTTTTATTCTTTAATAAATAAGAAACGATGCCATTGTCCCCTATAAAATAGCTGAGGTTTTACTTGAACAAAATCTGTTTTGAAATGTTAAGCTGGTTATGCAGAACTAATAGGCCTCAAGGTGGTCATTCTCTCTGGATTAAAGCTGTGGAACAATTGTGGCTCCTGTTACAAGGAAAATGACAAAGAGCCATTATAAAAAGGGACAAAAATCTCTGTTCCCAGAGGAGGACTGACAAGCTGAAAGTCCTCTTCTACATGCTAACACAAAAGCCTGATTGCCTCAGATTGTTTATGTAAATCAAAAGGCTACCATTAATTCTGCAAGTGGGACTGCCAAACAAAGAAGGTGGTGATTGGCCAGATTTTTTGCTCAAGGGCTGGTGGCAACTCTGACAAATCCTTTTGCTTTTGTTCTAAGCTCTATCTGCACCTTTAGGAAAAGAAGCTCATTATTATGTACTAAAGTAAATAATTGGTATTTTTATAGTAGGAGTTGGAGCTATAGGACTTGAAGGCAAGAGAACATATTTTATCAAGGATCTGTTTACTCAGTTTCCGCAAAGCTCTCTCTAAATTGGATTCAACTGTACATCATGACAGACGTTCCAGTGACATTCAGTCAAGTTGAGTGTAATGGGAACACACCACCTGAAAATGGTCAACAACCAATTGCTAAAACCAATGAGGAAGCCAGTGATATTGATGGCAACCCATCATTCTACAGGATAGAACCTAGTCTTGAAGATTTACCCACAGAAAGAAATGAGGAAAAAAATGAAAAATTACAAGGGAATATGCTGCTCAATTGGTCCATGGATGAGAAGATTCTAAAAGGTAAGACATTTTCTTTCTCTTTAATTTGCTTGATTTGATTTGTAAACTCACCCAGGATTCTTTTGATAAACTGTTACGAAAGGAATGAGCTGTACACTCTCCCATCCCTGTCCCTGCCCAAATGTGGCTCCTTATTCTACTGGAGCTACATAGCACGAGGACTAAGCCTCTGCCTCAAGTCAAACCTTGGCTTCTGTAATTGATAGCTCTGTGACCCTAGCAATGTTCCTAGACTCCTGAAGACTTAGTTTTCTCAGTATAAGACAGAACAATAGTACCGAAATTCGTAGAGTTGTTGCGAGGATTACTAAGTTGGTTAAATGCTAGCTATGTTATTATTGTTATAAACAGCTCCATTATTATTTGAGCAAAGGGAATTCAAAATTTCAATTTTTCTTTTTAAATATACCTGAAAGTATCTGAATTCATGGTTCTATACCTTATATAGATATTAAAGGAGAGTTATCATTATGTTTATAATAAAAGGAACCAGTGAAGAAATCAGCTGGAAGAGTGAAATAGTTATTTTTAGTGATCATAATTAAAAATCAAAGAATCTACTTAGAGACTAAACTGGTAATTTATTTAACCTTGAACTATTTAAATATTAAAATATTAATCTTCTGCACTCCCCCCCGCCAGAAAAACCGGAAGAGAATCTCTTTATTGTTCATAAGGCGATCACAGATCTTACTCTCCAAGAAACAAGTATTGATGAAATGACATTCAGAGAAGGTAAGAGGAACCTCCATTTGTACACAGAAATTGTTTGACTGGGTATGGATGACAAGGTTTGCATGGGATGTTGCTTGTGTGTGATGTTGAAAAGGCAATCAAGGCATGACTTAAAAAGCTCAAAGTTGCTATAGGCAGGTAAGAGGTCTTGAATATCTGTGGGTTTCACTTTAGAAATTATTCTAGAAGCTTCAAGACAGACTACATGGATTGGTATAACTGACTGACAGTGTTTTGACTTGACAATATATCTGTCTTTTAATAAGTTAGTCCATTGAATCAACCTTTCTTTTTAATTTATTATCTCAAAATCTGTCACACACTTTGTGATATGTAAATATTTCAAAAATAGGTTTATCCTAAATGTTTACTATTGCCATGCAGTTTAAAATAATCTTATAAATTTACTTGATCTGTGGGAAAATTCTAGCTTTCTGATGTAAGCACAAAATGGTTACCTAATTCTTGTCAAAGAAATCTCTCAGGTGATGAAGTTAATTTTAATTGTGTTCTTTCAAAAAATGGGAGAATAAAAAGAATATTGATTTCTAAGTGACGATATTGTATTTCTAAATAAACTCGAGACTAAAAGATACACATCTTTTAGGCTTCTCTAAGAAAACTCCAACATTCAAGCAATTCCCAAATAAAGTGAAAAATAAAAATCCATTAATTATTTATTTCCTTTCTTGCAGTCATAAACATCTTATTTTGAAATAGAAGCCAGCTTTTTAGACTTAAGCAATTGAATTTAGTTAGGATCTTAACAGGCAAAGTATTGAAGAGGTTATTGATTGAAATGTTATAACATAGCATAAAATAGTACATGCCAAGAAAGACATGAATTTAATTGACAATTTCCTGGGTTGTCTACTTGGCCTGGACACCACTCAGGCTGTCTGCTGACCACATGCAGTGGTCTATTGCATAGACATTTAAGGAAGAAGGTTATAAGCAACAGCCATTGTCAAACTTCTTATGTTACCGCAGATAATTTATGAGACTTAAGCCCTTATGAAATGAACTAAATCACCTCTTTGCCCTAGTCTTTCTGCTAATGTAGTAAGCTCTCAGAGGCAGGGATCTCAATCTTTCATCTAGAACTCTTTTCTAGTTTCTAATCAGGAAGTCCAATGGAAACAACAGTTTTCTAGAATCTTTTATTTTTATCAAATAGAGAACAAAAGCAGTCTGGATTTTAAAAGTAGATGGTCTCAGAATGAATTTTTCTCTGAATGAATCCTTTTGTGTTTGGAGGAATGTATGTTTTTTCTATAGGCTAGAGGTCCACCACATTTTGTTGTCTTTTATTTTCACAATGGTAAATAGCTATTAAGTCTCCAAAGAGAACACTCCTGGGTTGGAAAATTAGGAAGATGATAAAAATATTGAGGAAAAAATATAATTTTCATTCCAGAAGTAATTTCGTGCATGACAACTTCACGCCTGAGTCATAAATATGAGCAAAAAGATCAGTTTCTATGGTTCTGTAGAAAAAAATTAAGTAAAACAAAGCTCAAGATGATAGAAAACATTCTAATGCATATTTATTTATGATGTAAAGAACATTGACTGGGAACCAATGACCTGATAGGAACTGTGTACAACTAGTTGGAAGTGATAATCCATCTTCAATTCTCTTTCTTTTTGTAAGTTTACAATCTGATTCCTATAGTTGCGAAAAAAATAAAAAAAATAAAAAGAGAATGAAAAATCTTTGATGGAAATGAACTTGTGGACATCTTTCAGTGACGTAGAAAATTATGGAAGGGAAGGGCAAGGAGGAACGTTACCTCTTACTTTAGTTAATGACTCTTATGGTGTTGAAAAGGAGTAATGAACCCAGGCCTGACAAGGGACACAACCCAGATAATATTTCTGAATCATGCGCACTACATCTGAAGCTTCCCACAGTAGTGCTCTAGGGGTGAAAGTCTACAACCTCTACTTTCCTATAATTAGTTCTTTTTAGCATGCTCAGTCAATATTATTGAAGATATGCTGATATAATCTGCTTGAAAAGTAAAATTTGCAATGAATTAAGCCTTCTAAAAGTTATTACGTGGTACCAGACTTGAGTTAATTAGTTGTCATTAAGGATATAGCTAAAATGATAGGCTAATTTAGCACTTTGTAGATATTACCTCAACATTATTTTTAAATCTTGGGTCTCTAGGAATTAGTGGCAGATATTTTGTGTGCTTTGGTGGCCTTGGTGCTTTAGTTAGCTCAGCACATGACTCCTGACCATTTGTAGTCCCCTACTCCTCCTCCTACCCTTGTATGTTATGACAACTCTGAGAAGTATGGTAGCAAATACTAAATGTGTTACTCTGAGCTTGACCAGACATGAGCAGTCATTGCTTTTACTATTGGAAGAAAACTTTTTTCCCTGTGAAATATTTTTATAATTTTTCTTGAGGAGTGTGTGTGTGTGTGTGTGTGTGTGTGTGTGTGTGTGTGTGTGTTTAAGATATAGGTCCAAATATTTATTTTACATATTCACATATCCAGTCATGACAGGCTAGACAAGATTTTTAGAAGTATATCTCAGGGAATACCAATCTCACTAGATTCTTTAGTCCACAACAGCAGGAAAATCCATAGTTAAATGAGGTTGAGTTGCTTACTTTCTAGGCGATTTAAAATATTCATTAGTATTTTAAAGGCTTGGATAAATTCTGCAGAAATTTACTTAACTGTGTTTAATGCAATGTTTTCCAAACTAATTTGATGGTGTAGCCCATTTTATTGTTAAAACATATTAATAACCTACAGAATAACATCCCATAAAACATATGTGGGGAACTGATTGTCCAGAACAATAATTTGAAAAATAACATCTGACTATTTTGGAACCTCTGCACACCTCAACTACCAATTGATTTTGCTACAGGGCGTCAGTGGGAGAAGATTCCCCTGAGCAGCAATAACCAGGAAATAAGTAGAAAAAAAGAAAGGATTGCTGAACAACCTCTAGAAGAAAGGGGAGATGAAGGTAGGAAGAACAAAGCTCACCAGGCAACTGAAATTGAATGGTTGGGATTTCAAAAACCTAGCCAAGCTGATGTGTTGCATTCTAAACATGAAGAGGAGCAAGAAGTTTGGGATGAAGAAATTAACAATGCTGCTGATGATGATAATGATGATGATGTCTGTAATGATGATGAAGATGAAGTTCGAGTGATAGAATTTAAGAAAAAATGTGAAGAGAGTTCTCACTTAAAAGAGGAAGGTGATGCAAGTGAGGACTCCCCACTGAGCAGTCCCAGTTCCCAGCCTGTGACACCTGATGAGCAGCCAGCCTTTGGGAAGAAGAACGATATCTCAAGAAATGCTTATTCAAGATACAATACAATATCTTATCGGAAAATCAGGAAAGGGAATACCAAGCAAAGAATCGATGAATTTGAGTCTATGATGCATTTATAAACTAACTGAATCTGAGAAGTTCTCATGCCCACTAAAGCAAAAACTAATTCTGTTTTCTTGAGATGCATCTCCGTATGCCTTGAGTTATCCCCTTAAAAATGTGGATGCTTACTCTCTGTAGAATAATGTGAAAATAACCCTAGACAAAATTCAGCCTGGTAATCTCAAATCAAAAATTTTAGATTCATTACAGACATTTGTTTTTTAAAACTTCACTAATGTAGCATTATATGATAAGCACTAAACAGCCAGAACCTCTGGGGAACCTGGCATGACTTAGCTTTTAGAAGGAACAGTGTTGGGAAATATAGTCGTCACAATGAAAAAGACCTATTTGAAATGATTTCTATATTTCTTTTGGAGTCTTTCTTCCTCTACCTTGAGGGTGATAGAAAGTCCGTTGTTAAACTGTTCTTACTTTTAAACAAGATTTTATAGACCTTGAAAAGCAGATTTTTCAAACTGCTTTGTTTTTCCTATTATCTTCAAAACATTTTTTTCGGTGGTTTTCCTTGGCATTACACAGTGAAAATTCAGTGTAGGCCTAATTCCTTGATGTTAGAGTGACTGAATTTTCTCACTAGAGGGGCTGAGCAATTGTCAGTCAGGAGAATTCTGTTTACTAAATGTTGGTAAAAAAAGATGAATTAAATCCATTGTGAGGTTAATACAGAAAGGAGCTAAAAGATTGGTGGGCAATAGACTAAAGAGTTATATTGGATAGCTTTATTTCTGTGACTTAAAATCTCATCTAGCACAGTTAAAATCATTAAAAATAAAAATGATAGCTTTAGCACAACTTTTAAGGAAATACCCCCTCTCTATGACCACACTTTTTCTTATTAACAATATCTTAGGATAATTTTCTTTCCTTAGAAATCTGAAAAAACTCTAGTCATAACTGTACTGGTTACTATGAAAATAGAAATAATTATCTTAGAATATTTCAAAGTAGAGTGTGAGCATGTATTTTTAGTGAGAAAGCTCTGATAGTTGTAGGGAATATATAATTTACTGGACCTCAGCCCAAATCAAGATGCTTAAAATTGTGCTTGTGGAGTTTCATTCAAACCAATGTGTCAAATAATGTACTGAATATTTATAAAAAGGAAAAGTCTATATTTATGTAGACTTCTTAGATAGTTCCATAATTTTTATTTCATGCTTCCTTATATATTATCCTGAACTTTCTGTTGCCACAGAGAAAAATATATTTTGGCCTGCATGTGAAAAGACAATTCCTTATTGTTTCAGTGTAATACAGTCTTCATTGTACTATTCAACCCTTTGTTTATTTTTTTTTTCATTTTGTAAAAAACCCTGGGTTATCCCTTCTTAGATTATTACTTATTTATGTCTAACAAATCTCATACATTTTAATGTTAATTTTTTTAGTTCTTTATGGTCTTATATTTCCATAGTAGTATATATTATTATTGTGTATTTATGAGACTCAATTTTGAATTCAAGATTAAAGTGCTTCTTTATTTTTTCAAACAGATACTTTGCAACCTGACCGTATAAAAGTTCTGCCATCCTTAATCTACATAAGCTATAGATTTCATTCTTGACAATAATGTTTCCAGAATAAAGACAGAGAAATCAGGTCTTTAACAATAAACTTAGGCAGAGATTTGATGCACTAGGACACTTTGCCATTTAATTAGAACATCCAAATCTTTCTATTTGGACAACCTATTTTCTTTTCTGGATTACTGATGACACCTACAATTTTCTACTTAACTTCAAAGCACAGCATTTTGTTATCCATCATGGAACAGGGCCATATTGTTAACCTATCATCAATGGAGTCTATATTTTGAATTATTTTGCAAAGATGATGTTGAATTCCTGAGGAACTTGAGTAAGATGGGTGGTCTATGGCCATGTCACATGACTAAGCAACTAGCTCTTATGGTGTGACCATATATAGTAATCTTGGCATTTTTAGCTTTATGCTTTTACCAGGTGATTAACCAATCATGACAGATTTTGTCAACGAAGAATTTTCCAGTGTATATGCAATGAGTAAATGTTTAATACTCATGGATGAGGCAATGTAGTTGCAAAAGGAGGACTGAAACTATGCTTTGGCATCAGTGTCCATTGCCTTTTGCAGCCACCTTACATTAAGGCCATGGAATTGAGTGACCATCAGCAACTTAACGGTGATGGGTGGCTGCTTGATTCCTCGTAACCTAGAGAAGACAAGGGTATGGTTCAGATTGCATGAGGGACTTTTGTCGTATTTAAAAGTCATACGGGACATGTTAGAACATAAATTGGTAATTACACAGAAAGGTTTACTGTTTTTATAATTCGAGGTTTAGGGATAAAAGAAGGGCTCTGGTACCTGGTAGGAGGGAGAATTGATATATTATGAGAATGCTGATATTTCTTACATGCTTTTTTATTTTCCTTAGTTTCTGGATGAACAGGAATTAATAACAGCTCTATTTCTCTGTCAACATAAAACTTATCTTTCATATAATACTATCTTTGAAGACACAACGTATGTTAGAATCTATCTATCTATCTATCTATCTATCTATCTATCTATCTATCATCTACAAATTAATTAAAGAAATGCTGTGTCTGACTTGCTCTCAATAAAAGTTTGTGTCCTTGTTTTTGGTGTCTAGATTTTATTTTCTTTAGCTGCCCTTTAAAATTGAGAAAGAAATCTTGCATATCAGCAGCTGTTAAGAAGAACATGTAAAAATGCTGCTTCAGAAATCAAGAAAACACATTATTTTAACTCATTTGCATTATTTATTTCAAAAAAGCCTCAAAGTGATTGTATATGAAATTACAAAAAGAATTTCTGATGGATAGATATGTAATGTTCATAAAAATTTCTATTGTTTTTATAGGAACTGAGCTATTGTATTAGATGCATCTTGACTCCAAAACTTGAAAAACACATATATCTTTGTAGTCAGTCATCAATGTAATACATTTAAACTATGCTGACACTTTTATAGTAATTGTTTCTGCATATTTATATGGGGTAGTACTTTTGGCACATTTTTGAATGGAGAACGAACAGTTGTTTTTCAAGGTAATAAGAAAAATGTTTAAAATAAGTAATAATAGAGAATTATGGAAGAGGATGAAGCACCAGAGTATAACAAATAAGAAATATGTTTGGCCATATGAGAAAGGCCATTATTTCTTTTAAAGCCTGAACTTTCATTGCTCTATAAAAAAAAGGACTATAAAAGGTAAGGTAAAAAATTATAGCAAATATGTATCAATATTAAAATATCAGACAGTAATATAATAAATATGAATACCAAAACATGTATACAACTCATGAAGAACACAAAGTGACTGGGCCATACAATCAACATAAACACAATGACACAGGCAGAAATCAGCAGCAAAAATCACTCAGATACATGGCAAACTATAAAATTGACTGATGATGTCTCATAATTAACTGGCAGCTTGTAGGATTTTTGGAAATAAATTTGGAAAGTAATTTGAATTTTAACTTAGAAACTTAAAAAGCAAACGTTACGTGTTTGATTTCTTCTTTATAATAATGTTAGTTGATCAGAGGCAGAAACATTAGGTACTTAAAACTGTTCAAATTAACTCCAAATTCCTTTATACTCCATAGTTTTAAACTAGTTCTCCCATTAACAAGTGTTTTCAGGTAATCAAAAACAAAATTCACTAATGTGACCTTTACCTTCTGTTTTATGTCTTCCTCTTATAGTTAATATCTGTAAAAGTGACCACATTTGGGCAGTTGTTTAAAGAAGAATTAAATCATGTGCATAATCCTAACCTGAATAACAAACATTTTGGTAATTTAGAGTTTGGTTACTCCTTTCAAGCATGAAAAACGATACCCAGAGTGAAAGTTCACCTGAGACACTTCTGTCCAGAAGGCCAGATGCAGACAAGGCTTCGTATTTAAGTTAAAAATATCCAAAAACATGTCTGAATTTTCTTTATTTGTTTAAGTAAAACTCTTGGTTTTCTTTTCTCCCAATTCAAAACATAAAATATAGACTCACATATACATATATACATATAAATGAATATATGTGTATATATGTCTATATATATGTGTACATATAAATACATATGAATATATACGTATATACACACATATTTGCAAAGATTGATGTATTTTTGAATAGTCAAGTAGAAACAATGTATTTATGCTATCAAAAATTTTAATTTTAAAATCTAATGTAAAGGTTTTATTCATATAGATATTTGTGACCAATATTAAACGAGCAAATGTTTATCAATCGATAATAAAATAGAAAAACTCTGTTTTCCGAGAAACAACTATGTTACTTATTCGATGGCAACTGCCATCATCGGGAACTCAGCATATTAGAAGTTGCTCTATTTGTTGAACAGTGAGGATTTTTGCAAAGCAAAGACTTACATAAACTTGCAAAGAGACCCTAATTGGAGTGGTAACTACTAGTCAACCGATTAGGTTGAAAACAGAGGCATTAAATCTGCTTAGTGTGATGGATTTTTTTTTCCTTTTTATAGACATAGGCATCACCAAACTTGAAATACCATTCATTAAATCTTATCAAGAGTATATAATACTTTACATGGCTTATTCAAACCTGCCCATGAGGTGGCTACTTACCAAAAATAAATATCTTCTACATTAGCTTTGGTTAGTGTTCCTCTTCTCATTGAAGACATTTTGGTTTATAGCAGTTGTTGAGTAACCTATGCAAGCTATTATAAAAGCACTATGGTGACAATCTATACAATGAAGTGAAAGTTACAAGTCTTGGTTTGTTTTAAAGGCCTTCTCAATTTTTCACTTCCCACCTCTATTCAAATTAAGAAATCTGTCAGCTTTGATTGGAGAAAGAAAGGGTTTGTAATATTATTCACTGAGAGGCAGTCTCTCTCTCTATACACTTCTCACTCTCATACTGTTTCAGGAAATGGAGAAGAATGTGGCATTAAGTCAAGAAGCTAGACCGGTGCAAAGCATGTGAGGATAGCTATCCTAAATCTACACTTCAGTTGTTCAACAGAGAGGGGTGCAGCTTCTATTTCCTGTATATACCACATTTGAGAAAGAAACCGAAGAGGATTGACTCCACAACCAAGAGATTTTAACTGAGCTCACCTGAAACGATTGCCCTTCTTAAAAACAAAAAAAACTAAAAATCACAGTAGCATGGTGCAGTGAAAGACTCTCTCTTGCTTTTTCTTCCTTTCCTTTCTCCTTTCTCCTTTCCTTTCCTTTCCTTTCCTTTCCTTTCCTTTCCTTTCCTTTCCTTTCCTTTCCTTTCCTTTCCTTTCCTTTCCTTTCCTTTCCTTTCCTTTCCTTTCCTTTCCTTTCCTTTCCTTTCCTTTCCTTTCCTTTCCTTTCCTTTCCTTTCCTTTCCTTTCCTTTCCTTTCCTTTCCTTTCCTTTCCTTTCCTTTCCTTTCCTTTCCTTTCCTTTCCTTTCCTTTCCTTTCCTTTCCTTTCCTTTCCTTTCCTTTCCTTTCCTTTCCTTTCCTTTCCTTTCCTTTCCTTTCCTTTCCTTTCCTTTCCTTTCCTTTCCTTTCCTTTCCTTTCCTTTCCTTTCCTTTCCTTTCCTTTCCTTTCCTTTCCTTTCCTTTCCTTTCCTTTCCTTTCCTTTCCTTTCCGTCTTTCTGTCTTTCTTTCTTTTTTGTGACACAAATTGGAAACTGGGTTTTGTCTCTTAGTAGTGGGATGAGGTTAGACGATTCCTGATTCTTCTTAGCCATCCTCTTGTCTGCTTAATGAGGAGAATGAGACTCACCTCACTGAGTTGTGTAAAACAATGAGATGGGAAGAAAATAGTGCCTAACACATAGTAGATACTAAAAGATAATTATTTCTCATCTTTTTTTCTCATTACTCCTTGTTTTTATCCAAGATATTAGGGCCTTCATCTGAGGCATAATTTCTTTCCTGCATTTGAATGTAAAAGTTAAATTAGAGATATTAAGACAAATAAATATGATACTATCTGGTGCACCTCAACCTCGTTCTCTTGCATGAGAGCCCCTTGAAAATCATTCTAAGCCAGCGGTCCCCAACCTTTTTTGGCACCAGGGACTATGAGAATCCTATGAGAATCCAATGGCTGATGATCTGAGGTTGAGCTGAGGCAGTGATGCTAGCGCTGGGGAGCGGCTGCAAATACAAATAAAGCTTCACTTGCTTGCCTGCTGCTCACCTCCTACTGTGCAGCCAGGTTCCTAACAGGCCACTGACCAGTACCCATCAGAGGCCTGGGGTTTGGAAACCGTTGTTCTAAGCCATTCATGAAATCAAGGTTGACTGGGGAAATCGTATTTCTACACTATAATTGGTATCCTTGCGTCTCTACAATCCCTAAGGCCATACTGGAAGCAAGGTGTTTTAATATCTAAGCGAATATTTTCAAATTAGTGTAGAGAAGCTAACAGCACGTTGTGATCACGGCACATTGTGGTTTTTGGCCTGGAATGACAGCTGATTAAATGTCAACAAGCAGAATTGAGCAAATTTGATGCTGGTGATAAAACATGGTTGTACCAACAACAGCTGCGTCATCCTTTGTGGAGAGTAGGATGGAAGCGCTGGATAACTGTTGAAAAAAAAAAAAAAGCAAACCGAAAGGCTCAGAAGCACTCAGATGAGTTTGGTAAATTAGTTTTTGATCAAATAAGTCTTGTAATATATTGTCAAAGCTATGCTTCTGTTTAAGGTAACAAGATGCATGGCCATTTTTTAAAGAAAGGCAACAGCTCAAACCTATCCAGAGAAAACTCTGAAGTCCCCAAGACATAGCCTCCAATTGAAAAATTCAGGGCTGATAAGGACCCTAATTTATCCCATCCAAGGGCTTCTTATTAGAAGTACCAGAAGATCTTGTAGCATTTATAGCTTTATTACAGTCTTCTGAAAACAAATTTAGAGGGCAATGCTTAAAAAAATGTTGGTAATAGGTTTCACAATTAGTCGGTACTGTTAAGGTTAGGCCTATAAGGTTCCCAACTAAAGATTAGTTCCTTGTTTTAGAGTAATTAAGTAAATACATGTTAAGAGCTGTTTTTATCTACCCAAGAACTAACATGTGGTGTATGAGAACAACCCTTTTTATATTGATAACAGAGGTTTAAGTATAGCTTTATATAATAAGTATCTCAAGGTAACATCGGGAAGAGCATACACTGAACAGATTGTAGAAGGTATTTTTTTGTGAAATTCATTCAAATTTCTTCTGCTGGTATACCTGAAGTTAAGTATATCCAAAACATAATTCATTATTTTCTGAATAGAGTTGAAGTTTTTGGTAGAAACTGTTTTTGAATAAAAATAGAGTCTTTAGACTGGGGGAAAATAACCTTTCAACATCTTTTAATTACTTGAAGAACTGCATGAGGCACCCAACATATTCACTTTGGTCAGCAATTCAATTAGGCATTTGGCAACTGACGTGTGTTTTATCCCCCTCATAGTTCTGTTTTGAAAAGAATTATCTCATTTTCTAGTCATTCTCTCATCTCATCTTCAATGTCAATTATTTGGGGGGAAAAACCCTTAAATATAATACAAATATGCAAAACTGTTCCCCCTTTTGGATTCTTAGTTATCTCTCTGCTTTTGTGTATTTAATTGAGAGTGAAAATAAATTTTAAATAGGAAGTCAGAACTAAAGACTCCCAGTTTTATCATCAGCTCAACTGAACAGTTTTTTTTTTCTTTTTCTTTTTTTAAATATTAACAAGCATATTGCATGGTTATCCACTGGAGACCCAATACCAGCAAAAAAGAGATACAGTTTATGGATCTCTTTCAAAAAAAATGCTGTGGAGCAGATTTGTTTAGGCCAGTGGCCTGGGGCAATCGAATGAGACTTGTCTCTGGAGATGCATTTTCTAATCCTGATCCTCTCATCGACTAGCCTGAGATTTCTAGATAGGTAATGTGTCTATTTTCTTACCAAAATGAATGTAAAGTATATCAAGATTTCAAAGATCTTCTCTGATATGCCTAAGTATTGGCATACCTAAGATTAGGGGCTCAATTTAGATCAAAGAAATATTGAACTTCTCCCCAAATTTATCTGTGTTACCATCAGGTCCACATCTAGGGCTTTATTATTCCTCCCTCATAGAGGTGCCGGATCCCCTCTCCTTTTGGGCCAAGTCTAGGGTAATTTTTTCTTGCTTCTCTTCCAGAGGGTTGCTTACCTAATCCCATTCCCATTTTATTATGTTTCCTTCATTTTATTTCTACTTTGAAATCTTTAGAGCCCATTTTTAACGTACTTCATCCCAATGAATGCTGTTAAATCTAAGGTAGTATTTTATAATAAAGAGTCTTAATATTTTTCAGTGCTCTATTTCTGCTTTTTTTCCTTTCAACTCCCCTAATTTATTCTTGCATTAGAGTATGTTCAATGATTAAATGTATTTTAGGTTACTACAGTGTATTGGGATCAGTCTCTTTTACTTTGCCTTTTCTTGTTTCTTTTTTAACATCTACATAAGTCTAGGAAGTTACTAGTATGATTATTTTTTTCAGTGTAGTTTTAAAAGCACAAAATGAACTGAAAAAATGTCCATTACTAGAACTAAATAAACATTTGACTTCCTCACTTAAAAAATTTTTCCACTGACTTAGATTGGTAAAAACCATTATGTAGTAATCTAGATCAAAAAATCCTGCCATCAAGGAGTATTATATTAATACTATTTCAAACTTTAAGGTAAACATGCATGTAGTCTATAGGGAGAGAGCTGTGAATTTATGAGGCCTTTCAGCCATAGAGACTCAAGTCATTTTTTTTTTTTGATAAAAAATAGTAAATAAAGGACACTGTCGACACTGATTTTAACCTACTTGTGGGCCAAAACAGATGATATTGTCAAATATAGTCATCATGAGTATCATCATACTTCCCCAAGTACTTCTGTCTTCATTTCCTGGTACCTGATAGATTGCACAGAGAAATTTACAAGCTGATTTTTAGTACAGGGCAGGAAGTAGGCGATTCAAAGGGCCACCTAGTACTGAAGAAGGACTCCAGTTAAATGTTGGACTTTTTCCCTGAGTTAAATTTTGGAATCTCAAATATTGTGACTTTTTAAATCTTCCACTCAAATGTTATTAATTTTAAAAGTTTAAATTACCATGGGAAAATACAGTCATCAAGTCCACTATTATTTTCACAGTATCTAATGGGTTTACGAGATGAAAACATCAGTTCCTCTTCAGTCTTCAAAATACTTTTCAAATTTCCACTTTTGATATGGCTTCTTTGGGTCACAAGCAGCAACTTTCAGGGTCTTCTGAGAAAAATTTCCTTCCAAGCATAATAACTGATGGTAGTTTCCAAAAACAATGTGATTCACCTGGAGAGAAGGTAGATCTGAGAATGAACCACACAATGATCTCGACAACTGAGTAAGGAAATCGAAACTAATAAAAAAAAGATAGGTATTCATATTTTAGATTCTTTAGGAATTATCCCAAACTAAATTAATAACGTGAACACAGGCTTTGGATAATATTAAGTTGTCTCTATCTGAGACTAAGTTCTCATACCTCAAAGATAAATTTTCTGATCACATAGCTGATTAAGATATTATTTAAAGAAAATAATTCCAGATGGCATTTACTATATTTGATGGATGATGGCTCCCTCACTTAAGGTGGTAAAGAAAAAACACACACCATTACAAATAATGAGCTAATTTCTTAATTAAGTCCATGCCTTAGAATGCAAATTTGGAATACAAAGTGCTATACAAAAAATGATATATTTTATTTATGAGCTTCCTACCATAATCTTTGAGTACATAATTCCTGATGTCCAGAAAATACAGATATAATTAGGAAAAAGGTCAAAAGTGTTTCAGAGGGTTCTATTATTCCTTAATATTTATTGCTATCCTAGAAATCATTGATAATCTACTTGCTCATGGCTTTATTCTCAAGAATGTAATGTGTTATAAAGTCACAAGCACAAAGAAGGTAGGAGAGCATAGCTTTACAAAGTAGGGGAACATATTACATGGCTGCCTTCTGCCTTGAGCTCCTCTTTTCATGCTGCTAAATGTCATGGAGGTAAATATCTTGACAATTTTCTTTCTTCTTTTTCTAATTTTTTCATCTTAATCAAATCACTTCTTTGCAAATTAGTTTATCATTTAGGAAGACCAAAATTAGATGTATATAAAAATCAGCTAATGGAGTCTTATGTTCTCAATATGGCTAACCCAGTTTGTTAATAAGCCCGATGTGATTTTAGGACTGCCTGCTCCTGAATATTTTCTCACCAGCCTAATATCTTTTTTATTCTCAGATTCACTTCTGGAGATAAGGACTGTGTTTTTGTTCTCATATTCTCTCTCTTTTCTTTTTCTTCTTCTCTTTCTCTCTCCTTCTCTCCCTTTCTCATGCTCTTTCTCATGCTCCCTCCCTCTTTTCACACAGGGTTAAGGAAGCAGAAGGTAAAATGTAATTTATTTGATAGACATTTATGGATTTCTACAACACTATACAACCTAAAATTAGCAGCTTGTATACTAGCAATTCCTAAGTTTTTTGAATAACTCAATAATAATCATTATAACTAAAGAGAGAGAGAAAAAAAAAAACCTGTCCAGATGGAATTGAAAAATAGCAGATAAAATCTAAAGGGAGAAAGACTGGAGAATACAGGGCTCAGGCCCTGATTTTGACCCTGGGCAGGAAGAACAATATCCTGAAGAGAATAGTTACTGGCTGTGACATCAAAAGGATGGAGGCACTCCAAGAAAAAAAAAAAGTGTGCTTACTTTAGAGCCATCTCTAAACAAAATGATGGTCTTTATACACTCAATTTACTTAGTGGATTTGGTGGCTACCTCCTAGTGAGACAGAAAATTTGAGAAGGCAGTCCACTCCAAGATCCTATACCAACATTTTTACTTTGTACCCTGTTAAAATAAAATTAGGAAAAACTGAGAGGAATTTGAGTGACTAAGGTAGAGCAGGGGTGTTTTGATAAATATGAATTTAATCACTGGACCTCTGGAAAAATACCCCTTGATTTGTAGCATGAATGTAAATATTCTCATTGTGGCTGGTTTCGAGTTACCAAAGCAGTATAACTGAATGTGAAGTTGCCAAGAGCTGAACACAACCAACTCCTGTAAGCTGATGGGAGCTGGCTCCAGCAACCCCAGAAAGCCCAGGTCTCTGGAAACCCAAGGATATGAAAAAAAGAAAAAAAGCCTCTTTGTATGCAGAATGTAGAACCGGATTCATACTAAAGAACAGAGCTTGTAGGAAGCACACTGCTTCTTCCTTTTCCCATATTCTTTTTCTATAAGCTTTTCTGGTAACCAGTGAGAACAAATTCTAGCCTGTAAGTCCAACTTTTGGCATTAATTGACTGAAGCAAATGACTTTTAGAAACATAGGTGATGATAACAATATAACCAAGAGAACCTGGTGACTTCTATTTATATATAACCTGGTGACTTCCATATATATAAAAAAAGGACTTGACAATTTACAAAAATATGTTTATCTCTGTGTATGAACTTTTACACTGCCTGTATAGTCACAAAGGCACTTAAAGCTTCTGATTGAGGAAGCTGACAATGAGGGTATTATATCCCATTTAATTGAAAGTTGGATTTGTGGTAAAGAGGTACAAATATTTTGCTTACCAGTTCTGAATGAAAGACCGATGTTGATTTATGCAGCCATTTTAGCCTTTTGTTTCTGTTATCACAAGGGTACAGTCTCAGTGCTCCACCATCAGGGACAGGAGCCAAGCACCAGTCTCCATGTTTAATAAGTCTTAACCAGGTGTAATTAAACTGCTGAAGCTGTGGAAGAAATGAACAAGGAAAGGTCACTTCAAGCAGTAAATACAAGTAAGGGCTTTGTCAAACATTTGTGTAAGCGAAGTTTAAGAATATAGGCATTCTGGTCAGATGTTTTATATTCAAATCCTGGTACTGCCACTTGTCTTTGATTTTTCTGTCTTGGTCTTTTCTCTGTCCTTCTCTAATAAATTTTCGTTTTGACTCTAACTCTGGCATGCGCTTGAATTCTTTTCTATGCTCAGTCAAGAATCCTTCCTCGAGTGCAGGTCTTGAGCTCCCCGCAGCTTGGGGGAATTTGCCCTGTCCTGCATCAGTATGGGCGTATTATTTATCCTGTCTAATCTCATTTTTAATGGGATATAGCAATAGTATCTATCTCAGAAGCATGTGTTATGACTGTTAAGTATCTAGCACACAGTTAGCCTTCAATAAATGTTAGCTGCAATAATACAAATTATTTTGTACAGTTAATACATATCTGTAAATGGATGTCATTTCAGGTATTCTGAATTCCAGACAATGCTTCCTGGTGCTTGGAACATTGGGACATTCAAACCCCTACAGGATTACCACCCAAAGCCATTGGGACTACAGGGAGGTCCTAGTCAGCCTTAAATTACCTAGTTGAAAATGATTATGCTTCTTTGTTTCAGACTGTCTAGGCAGTTGGGCTTCTGAAAATTTTGTTTCATTGTAGAAAAGGTTAAGAGTCTTTCTTTGCTGATAGAACTAGGGATCATCAGGTTGCTGTTCTGTGGCCATCCCCCAGTTCAGAGGAATCGTTCTTGGAGAAGTCAGTTTTGGGGAGTTGCCAGTGTCTAGGATAAATACCAATTCAGGTAATGGAAGCACGTTTTCAACTTTTATAAATATTTTCTCTAATTGTTTACAACCCTGCGCTATCTGCTTGGCCAATTTATTCTGAGGCTCTGAGTCTGTGGGAAATTTGTTATTTTGCACCAACATAAACATATTAGAAAAAAAACTGAATGCTGGTAAGATCTATCTAAATACTTTTATCAAATGAATCATCTGTAACTCAACTGAGATTTAATTTAGATTGACAAGTATGTCATTGGGTTAGACCTCTGCACTGGATGGACCATTGAGGGCACAGCCTAGGAACTAGTTGGAAACAATGTCTCTGCCCCGTGGACCTACGGAATCACAACCAGCATTGTAACAAACTCTCTAGGTGATTTGTGTGCACATTGCAATTTGAGAATTTGAAAGAGAAAGGGTTCTATAGAAAGTAACCTCGCAGAGTGATGTCATTGTAAATTTCTAACTGGGCAGGTCATGGTAGGTATTCATGCCCCAGGCATATAACTTCTTTAGCAAAAGGCTCATCTTTGCCTTAAGCAAGCCCTGTCCATTGTTTCTGTGCATCTAGGCTGACACGTTTTTGAGATGCTCCCTTTTAGACTCCTCCTAAAGCAAGAGAGTACAGTCCCCTTAAGGATCCTATAATCCAATCCCTGCCTTGCTTTCTCTTCCCTTCATGTAATCTTCCTCACATTCTCTCCTTAATTTCAAAAGCATAAAAGAAATTGTAAAACTGTCATTCTCTGGAGCATCCGAGATCTTACTCCGCCGTATATGTCACCAGTATGGCTCAAATAAACTCATAAAAATTCTCTATAGGTTTGAACATTTCTTACATCAACAGGATGATGTATGTCATAGTACTAGGAAGCTATGTAGCTACTAAGAAAAACAGATATTACCTTGCAAATAGACATTTCACTAGTTGAAAAGGTAACTAAAAAGAATTTTTAGGTAAGGTGAAAAGTAGGGCTTGATGTTTCAACCCTAAGATTTTATTCCTTTTGAGTTTTTTTTTTGATAAATGTTATAGTCGCTGACTTGATAAAGTCTCATTAATTCTGGCAAAAATAAGGTGACCTCCTCCATGTTCTTTTACTTTTTATTAGATAAACAAACCACAAGAAGCAAAAGCTAAAAAAGAGTAACAAGACATAAAGGGAAAAGGGCATTTGTGGAAGGCCAGGGCTGCATAATTTATACCTTTCTCTCCTAGCATCCCCTACAGAGACTTAATGGTTATCAAGATCAAAACTTGGGTTTTCGGATAGAATACTGGTTAATCAGACACAGAAAGTCACTAAATGATGAGTCTTGAAGGATTACATTAATATTTTACTTTCATATATTTTGTACTAATTGTGGTTTTGTTGTACAATTTATGACTTTTCTCTTTGAATTGTTAATACGTGCAAGTTCTTTCTTTTATTTTTGAGACTTCCCTCTTTCTTCTATATTCTCTTTTCTAATTAAGAAAAAGTTTTTTTAGCCTCAAGTTTATAATCCACAGCTGAATTATAGCAACAGATGTGACAAAAATGCTTTTTATTCTAGTAGCAGCTTTGAAGGTAATGATGGGATGTGCTTGAAAATATAAGCAATATCTCTAAGTCGAAGCAAAGAAGCAAGTTTTGGCAAGCCTATATTATCATCTAAAAATAATTTCTCTACCAAAGAGTGATTTACAACTTTAGGGGACTGAATTATACTCACAAATCAATGTTCCTGGGAGTCCTCTTTGGTACCTAAACGGGTAGCTGTCCCCACAGAAAGAGAATGGGTAAAAACCATGTGTTGGAGAGGGAGATGCCATCATCCAGAGCTCACCTCCAGCACTGCAGAGACCCTGCTCTGTTCTCCCTAACCACCTGTGCTCTGAGTCTGTGGGAGTTTTGCTTTGGGGTTTTCCACCATGGATTATGGATTATGCAATTTTTATTACTCTCTTAAAATGTGGAAGAATGGGGGCAGGGAATAGAATCAGAGAATAAAATTGCTCTCTGAGATTAATTATTTAAAAATATATTGTCTTTTATCTTTATTATTTTATCTTTATATGTAATGCGTTATTTTCATTTTTTGTCTTTATTATCATAGCGGTGAACATTTATGGAGCATGCATAAGGTATTGCTCTACATGCTTCATATGTATTACCTAATTTGATCCTCACAAGCCGCTTTAGGGTAGGCACTATTAGCATTGCCATTTACCTAAGGGTTAAAGAACTTACAAAGTTAACACACTTTTGCAAGTGATGGAACCATAACTGTGCCCTTGATAAGCTGACTTCAGTACCCACACCTTTTCTCCCTCAGTCACTATCTTTAGATTTAGAGATGGACCTTCTTTCACCAACCTATGATTATGTAGAAATTAATTATTGTTTCTATAGGCAAAAATAAATTTCACAAGTGAATGATAAATGTGTCATACCCTGCACCTATCAACTATACCTGTACCATCGACTGCACCTATTATGAGAGAGAAAACTCTAGCTCATCATACCTTGCTGCTCCCATCACAGTCTTCCAGAATGGCTGTGGTGTTTTCAATGGATATGCATTTACCCAAGGCCACGTTAATAAGCTAGGAAGCAAAATATAAAACATGCATTAAAAAACAAATATTTTAAAGTAGAACAAGACATTCAGAAAGCACAGAATATAAAACCACAATAAGGTTAAAAGAGAGTTAATAGCTTAGCAGTACTTAGCACTATATTATTTTATTGGTTGCTATCTCTAACAGAGACATAATGTAATCTTGCTCAAGTACAGCTTCAATCTGTCAATTTAGGCCTGTGATTCAGCCACAGAGCCAACAAACAGAAGCTTTTAATTAACCCTTGCCTGAAATGCTGAATGGGGAATGAGCAAAAGGTGGCATGAAAAGTAGTTATTTTCTTGGCTCAAGTTTGTCTGATGCATATATTAAAAGCCAATGCACATATTTGCAATTTAATCAAACCAACAGTTACAGGCTCTGTTGCCTGGCTGACCCCTCCAAGCTATATGACTGCTTAGGCACTGAATCATAGATAAATTGAATCCTTCAAGAACAGCAGATTCCAGCTGATTCCCTGTCAGAATCTTTCTAATGACTCAGGCAAGCTACAATTCATTACAGGAAAGTCACGAAAGCTAATACAGAGCCAAGCTTAAAGGCACTTTCTGGCAGGTCCCCAGGTTTTTAATGGATTTGCAGGGTCAAACATGGAGGCAGCTCTCTATAAGTCACTGTTTAATGCAGTAAAATGTTGATTCCCTTGCCCTCTTTGACATCCTGGGCAGGGCTAACGAGATGGTGGGTTAATAGTACAATTTAGACTTCTCTGATTTCTGGAAGAGCTGTGCAAAGCCAAGTCTGCATTTGGGGAAGCTTCCTGAGCTGGGAGGCCGCGTGAGGTCTTAGTTTCCAGGAACACTACTCTTGCCCCTTCCTGTTGCACGGTGCCTAACACAGAGCTCTAACTCTGGGGTACATATGACATGGGGCGTGTAGCTCACAGAACTGCCAGCCTTTATAACACGGTGCTCAGTGGGTTGGTCCTCATATTTACATGCATAGCTTAGCTGGCAGTAAGGGGCTTCTTCAGGAACTGGAAAATGCAGGAAAAAAAAAAAAAAACAACCTTAAAAATAAGTGGTAAAACTGCAAATATTGGTAAGCAAAGGACAAATATTTTTGAGGACAGGAGAAAAACTGGGGCATAGACAGCAATAGAGGTGGAACTGCTGTCTTTCACACAAAGATGAAAACTAGAATTAGACCCTCAGAGGAATGGTGTCCTGGGAAAAACAATTTACCTTTTAAGTGCAGAGAGACTACAGGAAAGCTAGATTCTCCCAATCTGCAACCTTACAGTCGACCATCATTTGGGCTTGAGATGCAAATTTACACTTCCTTGGATTGCATAGGAACCCTGACAGATCCTCAAGGCACAGAAACAACATAAAAATAGTACCAGGTTGGTTACTTCTGGGGTGGCTGGAACATAAAAACAATTCTAGGACAGAATCTCTGTCAGGAATCCTCAGAGAAAGCTCTATCTAAAATTTAAAATGACACACATAGGAGGAGACCATCCAGCATTAGTAAATGGAAACAGGCAGAACTCATCAAAGGAATGGACCACCATGAGTTTCTGAGAAGAGAGTTAACAGATGCAATAAGGTAGAATGATCTTGGAGATTAAAGAAAGGAAGTGGTGCCTCAACTGTTCTCTTAATCTTAATAGAGATATACAGAAACTCTTGTATTTGTGTATTATTTAGAAAATACTCTTACTTTCAAATAGGTTTGCAAAACAGGCTTCAACAAAGCTGAAGAGGTTGCTCTGCTCCCAGAACCTCTCAGGATCTTTAATACGTTAATGTTTAGCTTGCTGCCCCAAGAGGGAGTGTAATACGAGTGTTTGCCAAATATATTTGAATATGGACTCCTATTCTTGACAGCACAACAAATAACATTGCCCAGAACAGTGTTTGAGACTCTCGGATTCAACCGATTCCTTTGTATTTATTTTGCACAATCCCTTTTTCCAAGAACTGAAAGGAATAATAAGAAAAAAAAAACAACTTTTCTATCCTTGCCTCCCCCACTTCATTTGAAGATTTGTTTCCATTTCTTTTTATCAAAGATTACTGAAGAAATTTATGGAATTAGCTGATTTTCTTGATCCAGAAATAGTCTATGAAGTGCTAAGGAACTTTTATTCTTTATCTCATTATGAATGATTTTCAAAATAGATTCATTTTATATTTAAAGAATTTTATCCATGCTTTTACAGTAAACAATTTTAATCTTTTTTTTTAAAAAAAGATCAGATAGCATATCAATTTTAAATTATTCATTTTGAATTGCTTTATTTTCCAATTTAGGAGGTGGGAATCACCACAGTTTATCAAAGAATTCTTAAACCTTAGGCTATATAGGCTGTTTGCTAATAGTTTAATCCTATTTAAATACACATTACTGTTGAGGTTATTTTTATAATATTATCCCAAATATTTTTGATTCAATAAGAAATGGTTTGTTTTCATTAAAATAAAAAAGCTTTACTGGATTTAAATTCCTAAGTATGGAGGTTGAAAGAAGAGAAAACGTGCAGCAAGTAACAAAAGTTATAGTTAATTTTCTTGGAAATTTTCAAGATTGTCTATACAAAATAATGGTCTGATTAATCTTAGTTTAGATCATCTAGAGAAAGATTCCAATTTTTTTTTAAAATGGTAATAATGCTCTCTACCACTCGCTTCAGAAAGTAGCAAATGACATCTTAATTAAAATTTGTGTAAAGAAGACAAATAGAAAAGTAGAATGACAAAATTTGTTGAAATTATTTAAAAATATATTTTTGCATTTTGATGTATTATAGCTCAGGCATCAGCTGAAGGTTATTTTCATTGAGAGCTCTTCAAAAATTTCACGGTAGCTCGAACAAATTCTTCACAGAGAAGGCAAAAGACAGTTTTTTAGTTCCCTCTGGTGGTTAAAGTTCAGTAATGCTCTTGCTGAGATTTTTGTGTTAAGACAGAAAAAATTATTATGGTGAGAATTTCTTTTCTTGCTCAAGAGATAGAATTTAAGAATGTAGATTTATTTTTATAGACATATTTTTTTGTACAGTGTATAAATCCAGGGTATTCTTCTTTATAAGTTACCTAAGATAAAATCTAGGATTGAACCCCCTGAAGTACCTACTATTCTATTTTGACCTATGAAGAGAACAATTTGATAATACATTAAGTTACATACAAATAGGTCATATATATATACTTATTTACCAGTTGAATTTTATAAAAAGAGACCAGATTTTTGACTAGTTTTTTCTCTTTCATACTCTCCCAAGATCTCCCCATACCATCAAGGAGAATGGCTTTACTAGTCCTTATCATCAGGAGATTTGCTAGGCAGAGAGCGGTTGGTCTGTACAATCTACTTTCTAGGGAGGCTGAAAAAAGTTTGCTTAAAAGATTAGGCTTACTGATTATCAAGTCTGGGAACCTCTTGCATGAAGAAAAAAGAAACTTAAAAAAAATACTGGGAATATTTATAAGTAAAAATTAAATAAGACATAAAACAATAAGAGAAATTAAAAATATGAATGACTAGGGAAGAGCTCTAGGTGAAAGCATGATTAACGATCTCTAAACCTGTTCTATAGTAATGTCCTCATGTCTTGCCACTCTCTTCAGATTAAGCCTCACTCCTGGAATGGGTTTGAAATAGCTTTCACCCAGGATCTCCTCTTTCTTGATTTTTTTCCTAGCTTTGCACTTTATCCAACCTACTTAGCTTGACTTCTTCCCTTTCGGTACATTACCTTGTGCCCTGGAATTTTCTCTGCTACTGTCTAAGAATTTATGTCATTTTCTACCCCTCTTTGAATCTATAAAACTCTAATTGAATCATGTCATCCCATTGCTTAACCCTCCTCAATAACTTTCCATTACATTCAGAAGAAAGGAAGGAAAGGAAAGGAAAGAAAAGAAAAGAAAGAAAGAGGG